GGCGGCAGCGGCGGCGGCAGCAGCGGCGGCGGCGACGACGGGCGGGCCGGGGGGCGGCAGGGGCGGCGGCGGCGGCAGCGGGAAGAAGGGCTGCGGGGGCTCCGCCTCGCCCTCCTGGGCCACCTGCCGGGCCACCTGCCGGGCCGCGCTCTTGGCCGCCGCCTTGATGGCCGAGGGGGAGGGCGGCGCGGCCGGGTCGGTCCTGCGGGGCGGCGGGGCTCCGCGGCGGGGCTGCGGGAGGAGCGCGGAGAGACCCCCGGGCCGCGCGGGCTTCTTGGGCGCCGGTTCCTCCTCCTCCTCCGAGTCGGACTGCGGGAGAGACAGAGAGGCCGGGTCAGGCGGAGGGGCGGGCGGGGGGCGGGGGGCTCGGGGCCCGGACCCCGCTCACCTCCTCGGGCAGACGAGGCGCCGGGATTCGCACCGGCTGCCGCTTCGGAGCCGGGCCGGGCCGGGCCGCCGGCAGGACGGAGAGGAGCCCCCGCGGGCCCGTGGCCGCCCCTTCGCTCTCCTCCTTTTCCTCCTCCTCTTCCTCCCGCTCCTCCTCGCTGCTGGCGTAGGCCACTAAGGACATGGCGGCGGCGGCGGCTACGCGAGTCCCAGGCTTCGTGCGGGGCGCTAGGCCGCGGCTCCCCCCATGGCAAGGGTACCTGCCGGAAGACGACCGAGCGCCCCTGCCGCCTCCCTGCGGTCGGCTCCGGGCGGCGGAAAAGCCCTGGAAGCAGAAAGCGGCCCGGCACCCGCCGACCGCCTTCCTCCGCGCTCCAGCGGGGGGAAATGGACTACCGCCCCCAGAAGGCCCCGCGCCGGAAGCCGCGATTGGCTCGTGGGCGCTGTGGCCGCGCGGGGCCCGCCGGGAAACCGAGGACGGGCAGCGGGAGGCTCCCTCGCCTGGCTGTTCGAGCGCGCCTCTGTTCCCGTCAGCCCTTGCGCGGCTGGAGGGGCCCCCGCTGAGTGGGGGGGTCTGCCCCAGGGGGCCCCAGCGGGGGTCTGCGGGGCGGGGCCCGTTTCAAGCCCGTCACAATCTCGACCCCCCCCCCGGGACCCCCGCCCGTCTTCTGCGCGGAGCGGCGCTGCGGGCGGAGGTCCGGCGGGGGGAGGGGCGCAGTAGCCAAGCAGCCCCCGCTCCGCCTGGGTGGGGGGGGGGTCTCCGGCTGCCCCCCGCGGAGCAGACCCGCCGGGAGCCGGGAGGGGGGAGGGGGCGCTGGGCTCCCTTCCTTCCCAGCGCGCGGCCCTCCCACCGGCCGCCAGCGCCGCCCCTCGCCGCCTCCCCGCCCCGCCAGCCGCCTTCGCCCGCGCAGACAGCCAGGCTGGGCGGCCCTTCCGAGCGCGGCGCACCGAGGAGGAGGAGGAGGAGGAGGAGGCGGCGGCGGGGGCGCGCCTGTTGCTGCGGAGGAGGCGCGGCGATCGCTCGGCCAGGGCGGCCTCGGCGGGGGCGCTGCAGCGGCGGCGGCGGTGGCGGCGGCCTCCCTCTCCGCCCGCGCCATGTCCCGCTCCGGCCGGCCGCGCGACTACAAGTGCGGCGACCTGGTCTTCGCCAAGATGAAGGGCTACCCGCACTGGCCCGCCCGGGTAAGCGCCGCGCGCTCCGCCGTGGGTGGTGCGGCCGGGCCCGGCCCTCTCCCCGCGCGGGGCCGCCTTCGCCGCCGCGGCCGGGCCTCCTTCCTGCCGAGGGCGCGGCGGGCAGGTACCAGGAGGGAGCTCGGGGCCCGAGAGGTCCGCCTGGGCAGTGAACACCGGGCGGGGGGGGGGAGGAGGGCGAGGGAAGGCCGCCTGCAGCCGCGCTGCCCGCTCCCTCCCTCGCTCGCCTTAATGGCCCCGCGCCGCCTCCTTCCCGGGCCGCGCCGTTGCCCTCGCGAGCGGCGGGGCCCCCAACGGGGCGGCTCCTGGTGAGCCACGCGGCCTCTGCGGTTTTGGGGTTGGTTTTGCCGCGTCTTTTGCAACGCTGAGGACTAGAAACGTGGCTCTTTCCCACTCTGCTTGCGTTGTGTTGCCGATCAAGGCGAAGCAGCGGCCGAGCCTTCTGCCCCCGTCGCTGGGGCGCTCGGATAGAAAGTCGGGTCCTAAGTTCGGTTCATCCAAGGACACCCGGGGGTGCCAGGCAAGGCGAGGGAGGGGCTGCCAGGGGGCGCACGCTGCCTGCCCACCTAACAAAGGGGGAAGGGGGGGGTCCTAGGGAGCCCGCCTGCCTTTGCCCCGGAAGGGTTGCACGGGGGAATTCTGGGAGTTGAAGTCCCGGCTGCCAGGGTTGCGAGGCTGGTGAAACGGCCGAGCAACCGCCGGGATGAATCCCTGGCAGCCTTTTCCTGAATCGGGCCCAGCTTCCGCCACTGACACCTGCGCGGGGGACGGACCCTCAGGCCATCCTCCAGCAAGGGGGGGGTCGCACTGGGGAGGCGGGCAGAGTGGGCGAATTGGCCCTGGGCGTCCTTTGGGGCATCCCTGGAGGAGCCTTCGGCCTACTGGGAGGGAGGGGAGGGGGCTTCCTTCCGAGGAGGGGGCGGGGGGGGGCCCCTCCTCTGCGGGGGGAGGGCCCAGAAAAGGGATCGGATTGCTGGCTGGGCCTGGCCCTTCCCCGGAACACAAAGGAGCTAACCTGGCAAAACAGGGAAGGGGGCTTTACCCCAGAGGGGCCCTGCTGGCCTCCTGCCCTGCAGCTCTTGGGGGCCGAGAGGGCCACCTGGCGGGCTTGGGCAGGGCTTCTGTGCCCCCCCCATCCCTGCAACCTGATGGGGCTTTTTATTCCCAGCATGGAGGTATCACTCCCAGCTAGCAAGGTCTCCTTATTGGGGGGGCTTGGGTTATGGAGAAGCGGCAGTGTCGTGTCCCCCCCCCCCAATTTTTTTATCTATCTATCTATCTATCTATCTATCGGATTTGTCCATCCCTTACAAGATGATAGGTATAAGAATAAACATGAGTCAGAATACAGGAAATGGGTGAGAATAAATGGGGACCACAGGAGACAGACGGTCGGCAGGATGGTGCCCTTATGCCCCTTCCAGACCGCTTAGGGTTGATAGGCCTGCTTGCTTGCAACCCCGAGCAGCTGAGACCTGGAAAGTCGGGGGGGGGGGGGGCTTTTGCTTGGTCTTCTCTGGACCCAGCAGCTGCCCCCCTGGGTGAGTGCAGGCTCCCACAAAGACCAGGAGTGCGGCTGGGGCTGTTGGTGTGAACGCCCGAGGGGCCGGGTGCTTGGGACTCTGTTGGGTTCGCGCTTGGCGTGTCATTTCCTTGGGGGAGGGGCACCTGTTCAAAGTCTGCTGCTGTGCCTGGAGGGTTCTTAGCTGCAGGGGGGGGATATCCCCCGTCTCCTGAGGCCACAATGGGGGCCTTTGTTCCCCCCCTTTGCTGTGCATCAGCCACCAGAGCTGCACAAGCACGTGGGCAAAAGATGGGACCCGCAAAGGGCCGGGGGGGGGGGGGGGGGGGGGGACAGAGTGTGCAGGAAGAGCCTGGACTCTCCCTTGCCTTGGGCTGGGTGGAGCCCCTGCCAGTCACTGAGGCACCTTATCTCGGGTGACCGCGAATAAAAGTTCCTCCACTTTCAGAGAAGGGTGGGGGGAATAAGCTGGAGGGGCCCAGGATTCGCCAGAAACTCGGGCAGGGGAGCAGCCCCCGGCCAAGAGGCCTTTCGACACCCCGCTATCTCTCCCCCACAGATCGATGAGATGCCGGAATCGGCCGTGAAGTCAACTTCCAACAGATACCAGGTCTTTTTCTTTGGGACGCATGAGACGTGAGTAATGCCAGGAGCCGGGCTCCCCGGAGGCGCCCACAGGGACCCCCCCCCAACTTGCCCAATGCGGGGGGCACTCTCCCTTCCTCTGCCTTGGAAGGTAGACTGACGCTAGAGGGGCATCTCTGCCTTCCGACGGGTGGGAAGCCGGCCCTCCCTGCTCTTCAGGGGCCCTTTGGGTGCTAGCCGAGCCTGACCCCCCCACCCCCCGCAGGGCCTTCCTGGGTGCCAAGGATCTCTTTCCCTACGAAGAGGGCAAAGCGAAGTTTGGCAAAGCCAGCAAGCGGAAAGGCTTCAGCGAAGGCCTGTGGGAGATCGAGAACAACCCCACCATCAAGGCCTCGGGGTACCAGGTGGGTGGAACACGGGGCCCTGCTGTGCCCGGGGCCTGACCTGGCTTAGCCGTGGCCTCCGTGGCTCCGATACCGCTAACTCCATGCAGCCACGAGGGGGCCGGGGCAGGGGGGAGGGGGGCAAGGACCCCTCAGCATTAGCTAGGCTGATAAAGGGGCTGTTATGGGATAGGCCGAGTCCATTTCCCCTGGACCCCGTGGCCGGGGCCCGCTGGCCCTTCTCTGGGCAGCCCCCGCTGATGGCAGCTTGTTTGGCAGCCGGCTCAGAAGAAGCGGCCCCTGGAGGAAGGGAGGGCCAAGAAGGAGCCGGAGGCTGGCGGGAAGGGCAGCCCCCAAGGCAACAGCCCCGAGGAGGAAGAGGAGGAGGGCAACCTGGTGATTGACGAGCAGGTCAGGGAGAAGAACCAGAAGGCTGCCCACAAGAGGAAGGCCCCGGAGTCCCCGGAGGTAGGTGTCGCCTGCCCGCCTTGGCAGGGAGGGGGGCCCAGGACTCCCGCCCCCTTGGGCTCCCCACCTGAGAGCGGCCTGCCCCCTTGCAGGATTCCTCCCTCAAGCGCATGAAGGACAGCAGGGAAGACCAGTCGGAGGCGGCTGGGGAGAAGCCGGGCTGTGAGGACGCGGCCCAGGAGGCTGGGAACCAGAAGCCGGAGCCAGGGGAAGGCCAGGGGAAGAACGGCGGGGGCGGCAGCCCCCCCCTCGATGTGCTCGGAGGAGGCGAAAGAAAGGGAAAGGCTGCCCAAGAGGAAGAGGAGGAGGAGGAGGAGGAGGAGGAGGAAGAAGAAGAAGAGGAAGAGCAGGAAAGCAGAGATCGTGAGAAGAGGTAGGCAGGCACGGTGGGGAAAGGGGAGCTGGGTGGAACCTCCATGGATCAGCACAGTGTGTCTTGGATATCCCCTGCTGGGGGAGGTGCCAGAATCATCCCTGGTCAGCTAGGCAGGACTCAAAGTTTCCACCCTCTTCTTCTTCTTCTCCTCCTCCTGCAGCGCGTAGCCGGCGCTCTGGGTTTCCTCGGTGCTACCAACCAGATTGCATCATCCTCTCCTCTCCGTGTCCGGCGCTGGGCGGGAAGGGAGCGCAACCCGACATTTCCACCCCAGGAACAGGAAACGGCCTCTGCCCAGCCCGCCTGCATCTCTCCTGGCCGGCCGTTTCGCCGGTGCTACGCTTTGAGCTAGTCCCAATTTGTAGAGGGAATGTGCGGATCGGTCGCTTTGGAATAAACGCAGTTGGGTGCCTTTTTAAAAAAAACATGCGGCCGTGCCTTGTCCTTTCCTCTTTGGGCAGCAGAAAAGGGGGCTGGGGGCTCCTGCGAGGTGGGGGAGGAGGAGGGGGTTTTTGCAAAGCCTTTTGCACGGGGTTTGGGGACCTTCAGGCCTTCCTTGGGGAGGGGGTTCCCATCGGCCATTGCAGCTGATTGGTGGAGGAAGAGGACTCCCAAAACAGACCTTTGCCTGCGGGGAGGGAGGGGGCCTCGTGGGAGGAGGATGCAGCCCCCCCCCCCGCTTGCCTTGTTCCTGGCATCTGCAGTCCCCCCCCCCAGCTGCACAGCTGAGTGAGGGGCTCCTGCAAACATTTGAGGGCCAGGGACCACAGGAATCCTGGAGTTGGGAGAGTCCAAGGGACCACCCAGCGCAGCCCCCTGCCCACCAGGCCCCTTGGAGCTGGGTCCCCGGCTTGTATTTGGATTGAATTGGGGGGGGGTCCTCCCCCAAAGCCCACTGCTACCCCACTGGGTGCTTTCTCCCAGGAAGGGAGATTTGGGGAGGGTTTGGAAGGGGGCTCCTCCCTCCCTTCTGTGGCGGCCTCTGCCTGCCTCTCTGGCCAGCAGAGTTCTTGCAAGAGGGTCGGGGGGGGGGGGCAGCTCTGACCTCACAAAGCCTCGGAATCCGGGGGTCCCGGAGATGGCCGGAATCTTCCGAGCAGCCGCAGCAGCAGCAGCAACAACTCAGACCGGCCCCCTCGGCTGCGGGATGGGAAGCTGGCTGTCCTGTTTAGGGGGCAGGTACTGACGGGACAGGAGGCAGGGACCCCCAACCCCAGGCAGACCCCTTGGCTGGAGGGAGGCTGGGTGTGGGGAAGGGCCCCCTCCCCTTAGCCTCTGCCCACCCAAGGGGGCTCCCAGCCTGGGGGACGATGCCCTCACCCCCCCCTTCCTTTCCTGCAGGCCCAGCCGTGACAGCAACCGCGAGTGAGTGGCCTCTGGGAGCCAGAACCTCCCTCCAACGGATCAGGCCCAAGGGAGGCCGTTCGCATCTTCATCTCCTTAACACTGGTTGGGTTGGGAGATCAGAGCCCAGAGGGGCCCCCGGGGGGGGGGGGGACTGGGCTCCTATGAGGGATTCCCCCCCCCTCAGGTGGCTTTAGTGTTCCTGCACTGGCAGAGTTCGCTGTGGCCCCTTTGGGGCAGCTGGGGGGGTCCCCCAATCCCCTCACAGTGGGCCCAGGGCTGGCCAGGGGATGCTGAAGGAGGGGGGTGGCCCTGGGGACCCTGGCCTGCTCCTGCTGACCCTTCTTGGTCCTCTCAGGAGCCTCCCCAGGAAGAGAGAAGAGACAGAAGATGGTGAGTGCTGGCTCCGGTTCCTGCGGGCCCCCCCCCACTCCCCCGCCCTGGGCGAGGGCAACCCCGGGATGGGCCGGGCAGCAGCGCTCGGATGCTGATCCTTCCCTCCCGCCGAGGCTAAGCCCCGCTTCTCCTGCCCCTGCAGCAGGGACGCCGCCTTCGCCTTCTCCGCCGCCTTCGCCTCCCCCGGCCTCCGGCTCGGGCTCCCGCGACTTCGCCGCCCCGCCGCCCTCGGCCACCCAGCCGGCGGAGCGGGCGCTGGGCCCCGCGCTCAGCCTGGAGGCGCTGCAAGAGCGGCTGGAGGCGCTGAAGGCCCTGCAAGGCCAGTACCTCCGGGGCCGTAAGTATCCGGGCTCCTGGGGCCACTGACCGCTCCGGCCCCGGCCCCCGCCGCCCAATCCTGCCCTTCGCTCTCCCTCCGCTCCAGAGCTGAGGATCCGACGCACCTGCCGGGACTTCCCGCGCACCCTGCGCGCCCTCAGCCTGCAGATCTGCCGCAGCCGCCGGAGACTCATTCGCGCCGAGGTCCGCCTGCAGCGCCGGGACACAGAAGGTGCGCGCGGCTACCGGCCGGTCCCTCGCCCCCCGCCCCCGCCCCCTCCGGGGCTTCGGCCGACGCTTCTCTCTGCTCCGGCAGGCGCTTTCCAGATCCGCCCCTCGCCGCCTCCGTCCGAGCTGCTGGCCTTGGCCTCCTCGCGCCAGGGACTCGCCGCCGCCGCCTCCCTCTCCGGCTGCTCCCTGCTGCTGCTGCCCGCGCCCCCGCCGCCGCCCGCCCCGCCGCCGCTGCCGCCGCACCTGCCCGACCTGCAGGAGGCGCTGGAGACCTTCCTGGCGCGCCAGGAGCGCCACCTACACGACCGTGAGTCCGCCGCTGGGGGCGCCTTCCCCGGGCCAGTCTCGGGGTCCCGCCTTTGCGCCCGGGACAGGTGGGGCGGGGCTCCAGGGGCTGCCGCTGCGGGACGCCGGGGGTCTGGCTGGCCGAGCCCCGAGGTTGCCCTTCTGCTTCCAGGGCAGAGAGACTACCGGGGCTGCCAGGAGTGCCTCCGCTCGATCAAGATGCTGCGCGGCCAATTGCGCCGAGTCCGGAGCCGGCTGTGGAGGGTGGAGGCGGAGCTGGGCATCCAAGTGCCCCCGCGCGAGCTCTCCGTGGAAGACCAGGAGGACGAGGAGGACGAGGAGGACGGCCCGCCCTGGCTGCCCCCCGCGCTGCCGGCTGCCAGGAGGGAAGAGGCGAGGGGCCCGAGCGATCCCGCGACCCCCGGCCGGCTGCTGGAGCCAGAAATCCCCGCCTGCCCTCAATAAAGCTTTTGGAAAGTCTGCGGCTGTCGAGGCCACCGCGCGGGTGGGGCAGAAAGGGGAGGGGCTTGGGTTGGGGACTCGGGGACGAGTTTCCTGCGAGTCATGACCATGTCAGCAGCTGGTCAGGTACCTCTCTCTCTCCGCACCAGCCAACGGCGGTGCCCCCTCGGCTAAGCTGGGCTGGGGACCGAAGCGAGTTCTGGGCAAATAAGTCCCGCTGGCAAATAAGCGCCGAGGGGAATTTGAAAAGGAGGGAACTGCCCAGGAGGGGCTCCCTGGGGTGGTCTCGGCACCCTCCTCTGCAAAGGGTAAGGTTCCGGCTCTCCAGCCCCGTCGCTAGAAAGGTCTCAGAGGCGGGACTGGCACAGAATGGATCCAAACGGGAAAGGGGAGATTCTGGAGCGGCAGCTGCCCCCAAGTTCCCGGGGTGGCCTTCGAAACTCCACCTAAGCTCCACCTTCTGTCCACCAGAGGGCGCCCTCTTACCAAGGCACGCTCGCTGTCGCTCCCATGGGCTCCTACGCAGCCCACCCCACCCCCCCTTTGAAATCCTGCTTCCCCCAACTCCTCCTCCACTCCCCCCCAAACACCCCTCCGTCCTCTCTCTCTCCTAAAAAACTGCCTGTTTGACGTGGAGCACTAATGTATGTGGGGTGCACAGAACGCAGACACCCCCCCCCCAATGATGCCACCCCCCAGCCTGCCTGGGGCCCAACTCCGCCCCGCCGGCTGGGCGCCCCCCCGGGGCCGGGGGGCGTTTCCTCCCCCCCCCCCCCCCCCCCCCCCCCCCCGCTGTCGGGGGGCCTCTCGATAGCGGGGGGGGGGGGGGGGGGCAGCACCGCCAGGGGGGAGCAGCTGCCGAGGAGGCATTTCCAAGCCGCCTCTCCTCCCACCCGCTGCCGCCGGCTTCCCGAGGAATGCTGCTCTTCTTGGGCGATGGGGGGGGGGGAGGTGTTAAGCCCAGCCTCCTTGGCCAGGAGCCTCCCCTCCTCCCTATGAATCGCCGTGCGGAGCTGCCCAGCCCTTGTTCACCCGCCAGGCTCCCCTCTCGGCTGGACTCTGCCTCCGACAGGCGCCTGGAAGATGGACAGCTTCCTCAGCTCCTCGCGGCCTCTGGGAGAGGAGTCTCTGCAGATGTGGGACCTCAACAAGCGCCTGGAGGCCTACTTGGCCAGGGTGAAGTTCCTGGAAGAGGAGAACGAGCTGCTGAAGGCCGAGATCCAAGGCCTGAAGGGGGGCCTGGTGGAGACCCCCTGGAGGGCCAAGTACGAGGTGGAGGTGGCCACGCTCCGGGCCACCCTGGACCAGGCCTATCAGGAGAAGTGCGTGGTGGAGCTGGCCCGGGACTCCCTCTACGAAGAGGTCCAACAGGTGCAGAGCAGGTGCCAGAGGGAGAGGGCGGCCCAGGAAGAGGCCAAGATGTTCTTGTCCCTCAGCAAGAAGGAGATGGAGGAGGAGAAGCGGGCCCACATTTGGCTGAGGGAGAAGGCCACCCAGCTGGAGAAAGAGGTGGAAGACCTGGTGGCGGCCCACCAGGAGGAGCTGCTGCGGCTGGACCAGGAGACGACCAGCTTCTCCCAGAGCCTGGACGGCTTCCGTGCGGCGCCCGTCTGCTTCCAGCCGGTGGGAGTGGAAGACTACGCCAAGAGGCTCACCAACATCTGGAAAGGAGCGGTGGAGACCTACAAGATGGAGGTCTCGCAGCTGGAGGCTTCCCTCTGCGAAGCCAAGGAGAACCTCTGGAAGGCCACCGAGCACAAGCGGCAGAACCAGCTGCAGCTGCAGGAGCTGGAGAAGGAGCTGGCCAGCCTCAAGGCCCGCAAGAAGACCCTGGAGGGGAGCCTCTCCCAGCAGTGGGCTCAGCAGCAGGGCGACGCCGAGAAGCTGCAGGTGAGGCTGCCCAGGGATGCCCGCCTGCCTGGGGCGGCTTTTCGACCAGCTCTGCCCCTAACGGCAACCTGCTGGGGTCCCAGGTGGGCAGCGGACTGGAGGGTGGGCGAGCGGCCCACCTGGAGGGCTGTTGGTAGCTTGGGAAAGGGGCTTGTAGGCAGGAAGTGGAGTGTCGCTGGCAAAAGGATGGCCTGGCACTTCCTCTGAGCCAGCGCTGTGATTCAGCCACTGGCATCTGGCGGGCTGGGCAGCTTGGGGGCTGCAGGGATCACATCAGCTTTGGGTGTCATTTCCTCTTGGCTGGGGAAGAGCGGTCCCTTCTCTCCCCCCCCCCCCATTCATGGCCTCCTGAAGGCCACAGGACGCTTCTCCTGGGACTGGTGCACCCCCTTTGCTGCTTGGGTGTCAAGACGAATTCTGGGGGGTCCCATTTCCTTCTCCTCTCCCGTTTCCTTTGGCAGATGCAAGTCCCCCCCCCGCTCCCCCCAAGCAGGCTGCAGGGGCCTGGGGAGCGGGGAAGGGGCCCTTCCCCAAAGTCAGAAATGTTTTCAAAGAAAATAACGTTTGCGTTCAACTTTTCTTATCCTTCCAACCCTGAAGGGGAGGGGGACGTACCCCCTCCTCCCTCAATCGTCCGGAGCTCAGCAAGAGGGAGCCCCGCCCTGCTGGTCTTGGAATGGGGAGGAGGGGGGTGGAAGGCGAAAGTGAACTGCCCGGCCGGGGCCCTTGAATCGCTTTGCTGGACCAAATCGGAATGAAACGGGAGAACTAAGGCTGAGCTTTGGAGGCGGCTCGACCGGCCTTCGAGGCTGGAGCCGAGCAGAACAAAAGATTTTCTTTCTGACACGCTTGAAAACTGAGCGCTGGGCTGCCACACCCACTCGCAGGGCAGATCGGCGGGATTTCCCGCAGATGCCGGCGGGGAGGGAGGGCGGGGGTCCTGCTGCCCGAGAGCCCAGCTGGACCGCCCGGGGGGGGGGCTCCTGCAGCGTGACCCCCTGCCCCACCCCAGAGCGGCTCCCCGGGGCCGCGGCTGCTGACCCGCCGGTGTCTCCTTCTCTGCCGGACAGATGGCCATGGAGGCGCTGGAGGAGGAGAAGCAGGCGCTGCGCGGCCAGATCGCCCAGGTCCTGGAGGACCGGCAGCAGCTGGTGCACCTGAAAATGTCGCTCAGCCTGGAGGTGGCCACCTACAGGTGAGGGACGCCCCCTCCGCAGCTCCCCCGGCCACCCAGAGGGCTGGACGAGGCGGGGGGGGGCTCTAAAATAAGGCCGGGGGCGGCTACGCGCAGCCACCGCCCCCCGGCTGAAGGGCCCAGGCGCGCCGGTCCGCTTCCTTCTCGTGCGCCTCTGCCTCGCCAGACGCGCCTCTCTCCGGCGCCATGGGAACCTCCCCTCTGCCTCCCCTTCTCCTTCCCCCGACGGTTCCCACACAAAAGGAGGCGCGCGCGGGGGGGGGCTCCTGTTGATTAGCATGAGAATGGCCCCGCTGCCGGTAAGCGGGGGCGGGAGGGCGGCCGGCAGACTCCGCATGATGTCACCCCTATCCTGCTCCTGCTCGCCCCCTCCCCCTCCTGATTCGCGGGGCGGGGGGGGGGGGGGGGGGGGGCCCCCCAGCGCTGGGAAGGTGGAGAAAAACCCGGCAGGGAGAGGCAGCTGCCCGAAGCCAGGAATAGCCCCCCAGGCGCCCCCTCCCCGCCCCCGTCTCAAGAATCCCTTTCTGCCTTGCAGGGCCCTCTTGGAAGCGGAGAGCTCCAGGCTGCAGCTGCCGGCAAGTGATCTCCAGCTCGCCCGGGAGCTCAGAGGTAGGGCTGAGTGGGGGGCTTCCAGGGGAGGCCGACAGGGCCCACTTCTCCCACAACAGACAGAGCTGCCCTTCAGCAGGCAAAGTCCCGGCTTTGCTGAACCCGAAAGAAGACGGAACTGGGTCGCCCCTCCCTGTTGATATATGTATATATATCCGCCCCCCCCCTTCATAATGTCTGCTTCCCGCAGGAAAACGTGGATTGCCCTGAACTACTTTTCAGAAAGGAGGGGGGCCAGAAGTTCTCCTTGTTGGGGGGGGGGGAGGAACCCATCCTCCCCTCCCCCGGGATGCCTTGCAGGCCTTCCCTGGGAGGCTCCGCTCTCCCTCCCCCTCCACAGATGGGCAGAGTGGGGCAGTCCCCTCCTCGGGGGGGGGGGGGGGGGGGCCCCCCCCCCCGGGGGGGGGGGGGGCGGGGTCCCTCTTGGCAGAGGGTGGCCTGCTTCACTGGAGGCCGCGGCCTTTCCTCACTCTCGCTCTTTCTGTTGCTTGCAGATGCAACAAGTGAAGCAACGCTCGGCCGGTTCCAGGGGCCGTCGGTGGATCAGGGCCGCTCGGGGAGCCGGGATGTCCGCCCCAGCCCTGCCGCTTTCCCAATGCTTTGGGGGTTCCAGAGCAAAGCCGAGTCACCCTCCTGGGGGGCCAAGATCCCGAGCTCAGCGGCCAGGGAGTTCCAGAAGGCCAACGCCTCCCTCCGGCAGTCGCAGGCCACCAAGAGCGCCGATGGGCTGCTGCCGCCACCAAAGGAGGCCTCTGCTTTCCGCCTGGACGCCTCCCAGCGCAGCCAGAGGGTGACGGTCACCCACATGGAGAGCCTGGCCCAGTCCATCTTCTGCAGCCACCCCCCGCTGGCTTTCAACTCCGTGGAGCCGGAGGAGGCTCTGGGAAGGTGCCCCGGGGGCCTGGCCGATGGAGGGGAGAGCGGAAAGGAAGAAGCGGAGAGGGAGGCCGAAGGTGGAGGAGAGGAGGAGGAGGGAAGGGCCTCTGGGGAAAAGGAGGAGGGAGAAGAGGGGCCCCCAGCGGAGGGAGAAGCCCCAGGCGGGCCCTTCCTGAGCCAGATGGTTTCTGAAGCCGTAGAAACTGCGATCCAGGAGGGGAGCCCCAGAGAAACCCCCCTTGAATCCAGCTTGCTCAAGGCGGGGAAAAGCCCAGCGGGCGTTTCTTCCGAAGAGGAGCAGCCCCTCCCCCTGAGGAGCAGCGAGGGGCTGGAGGAGGCCCAGGAAGAGCACCGAGGAGGGGGCCAACCCACCGACCCCCTGGAGGAGCTCCGGGTCTGTGAAGACTTTGCAGAGGTCAATGGTGGCCAGGAAGCCTGGGCTGAGCTGCACGGGACCGAAGAGGCCTGGCCGGCTCTGGAGGCAGAGGCCCCCTTGGCCCTGGGAGCAGAATTCCCGAGAGCAGAACCGAGGGGAGGAGGAGGAGGAGAAAAGGAGGCCGATGAAGAAAGGGGGTCCCCAGAATGGAAGGAGAGACGGGGGGAGGAGGAGGAAGAGCTGCCTGCTTTACTGGGGGAGGTGCTGGGCAAGGCATTGGGAGAAGCACCCAAGGACCCAGAATTTGCCCCGGAGGCCACCACCAATGTGAACGGCAGCCAGGAAGGCCCAGAGCTGGGCAGCCCCCCAACCGATGTCCTCCAAGGGGGCCCAGAAGTGGACCCAGAGGAGGACTGTGGAGGGGCTGAAGATGTCGAGGTGGTCAGCCCAAAAGCTCTCCTCTCCCAGGAAAGGAGAGAGCCCCAGAGTCCCCCCAGGTGTGATCTGCAGGCAGAGCACCTGGAGCGGGAGGGAAGCCCAGCCAGGGGGGGCTGCTCACCCACCCCCCCTACGGTACTGCCTGCCGGTGAAGACCAGAAAGCTGCTCTCGTCCTGGAGGCAGAGCAGGAGACCTGGGAGAGGCGAGAAGAGCGGCTTCCGGAGACCGAGGAGAAGGAGGAGGAGAAGGTCTTCGGCATGGGAGAGGATGCCCCGCCCAGAAGCTCAGGTCCTGCCATAGAGGAAGAGCCAAAGGCGGTTGAGAGCAGGGAAGTCACGGAAGAGGAGGAGGAGGAGGAGGAGGAGGAAGAAGAAGGGGCTGTCGGACCTCTTCCCACAGAAGATACGGGAGATGAAGGGAGAAGGGAGGCCGAGGGCTGCTTCGATTTGGAGGCACCCAAAGGGATCGTGGAAGTGGGCGCAGCCTTGCCCAGAGAGGACCTGGCAGGCGTCCAGGGGCAGGAGACGCTGCAAGGAGAGCAAAGCAGGAAGGGGCCTGAGGAGGAGGAGGAGGAGCAGAAAGGGGGAGGGGGGCTCCCAGAGACCCCGTTGCAAGCTGAAGGGAGCCCCCTGGAGGAAAGGGACTTGGCGACAATCTCCGGAGGGCCAGAAAGTGAGGACGTCGCAGATGCCCTGCAGATGGAAGAGCTACGTGGTGCCGTGGTGACAGAGAGCCTGCTGCAGGTGAAGGAAAACGGCCCCGGGGGCTCCGAGGAGAAAGGATGGGGGCTGGACAGTCCCCAGGCAGGAGAGCAGCTGGCCGAGGCTGAAGGCCCCTCCATGGAAGAGGCCACCAGCCCAGAAGACGTCCAAGAGGCCAAGGCATCCCAGAGGGAGGATTCAGGGTCCCAGGAGACCCCCGAACACTCAGACTTCGTCCCAGATGCCCAGAGGGAGGGAGGAGGGGCCGGGGAGGAGAACGTCCAGCGAGGAGAGACCTTGCCAGGCCAGCCAGCTTTAGACAATGGGCTGACCATGCCTGAGACTCCAGCCCTTCTTCCTTCCTCAGAGGGGGAAGAGATGTCCATTTGGACGCAAGAGGCGGAGGCCCCCGTATTAGAAGAAGAGCCTGCAAGCCTTTGGCTGGCCAAGGAAGGCGGAGGGGAGGAGGCCCCTCCAAAGGGAGAAAGCGGCCACCGGGCACAGGAAGAGGGGGGGCCAAGCTCAGAGGAGCCAGGGGGTTCGGCCGAAGCCCTCATCCAAATGTCGCCGCTCACAGAAGACAGGGAGGCGGAGGGCGCCGGGGAGGCTGAGCAGGAAGAGCAGGAAGGGGCCCGTGGCCTGGAGCCAGAGGAAGACCCCTGGCAGGAGGGGGAGGTGGCCAGAAGCCCAGCCACCCCCAAGGAAGAGGTGGGCGCAGGACTCCCCTTGGAGCCAGGAGATGGCTTGGGGTTCCCAGCGGACGGGTTGGACCCCAGCTACACCCAGCAGGAGGAGGAGGAGGAGGAGGAAGATCAGGGGCCCTTGGAATTTAGCGACCGAGAGCCTATGGATGTGGCCCCTGCCAAGGTTTCCCCCCTGACCAGCGTCACGGATTTGGGAGAAATAGTGCTGGAAGGCGACCGCGCTCTGAGTGGTCCGAAGGGGGCTGTGGAACCTGACCTGCTAGAACCCTGTGAGGACGAAGGTTTCCATGTCTTGGATCCAGAAGATCTGATCCAGCAGAAAATGGTGGCTGTGGAAGATCCCCCAGGAACCGGCTTCCCGGAGACGTTCCCAGAGGACGTGGTGGGTCTTCCGCTAGACAGCAAGAGAGACCCCAACATTCTGGAGATTGTAGAACAAGCTCTGGAGTTCAACCAAGAGTTGAGGAAGGCAGCTGAGGACGAGCTGGGAGGGCTTGGCTCCCCGGAAGGAAGGCCTCTCGATGCTCCCCCGGCCGCTCCGGGCCAGGGGCCACCCCTGGCTCCTACAGAGGCTCTGGAAGGCTCTCCTCCCACCCCAAGGGAAGCCCACCCATTGGGGGGCAGCCAGGCTAACGGGCTTCAGGAGGAGCCAAGCTTGGATGGGTTCCCACGTGAGCTTCTCAACAGCCTTGGAGACGAGGATTTCACCCAGGAGGGGACTGTCGCCCCACAGTTCTGCACCGAGGGCAACTCCCCCGTGGCAGAGACCCCAAGCCAGAGTCCACCCCCAGTCCCAGCCGGCGAAGGAGGGTTTAGAAGTGGACACGGCAGCCCTGAGGTTCTTGAGAAGGTCCCCCTCGGTCAGGAGGCCCTGGATGAGAACATCCTGGACGACCTGCGGCAGAAGGCCTGTGTGAAAGGAGGCAAGGAGGCCAAGCTGGAGCCCTTCCTGTTCAGGGACGAGATTCGGCGCCAACCCCTGGGATTCCGGCCAGAAGGGGACCTGGATCTCCAGCCCTCGGAAGACGCCTGAAAGGTCCCCGTTGACCCCTTAATTCCAGCCAGTGACAAGCCGCGTAGTTCCCGCTAGACGCTCCCCTTCTGTCTCAGCCCCCACCCACCCCGACTTTCTTTCCTTCCTTCCTTCCTTCCCTCCCTCCCAATTTGAGGTAGCCCCACTGACAATCAGAAGCTTCGATAGGCCACGTTTTCAGCCCTTTCATGTTTTCCACGGTAGGCTTTTTCTAAAATACCCTTTTTTTAAAAGGGAGAAGGCATTCAAGCCCAGTGTCTGATAGCCTTTGTCTTCCCCTGAAGTGTAACCCGCAATTTGGCAAAACTGTTTTGTTTTTGTTTTCTTAAGAAAGTGGAATGTTTCATCCGGCTCTAGTCCTGCCCATCAGGAAAACAAGTTGTTTAGGAAGGTCCAGTCTCACACCTTGTTCTTCTAAGTGAGGCGCCCTGAAGTTCTCCGGCCAAACTTTTACAGTGTCCCTCCTCCCCACCGTTACCTGGGTCAGAAGTGCTTCACCCAGCGCAGAGCACCCAGAATTCCCCAATGGAGTCTGCCGGATGGGGAATTCTGGGAGTTGAAGTCCTTACACCTTGCAGTTGCTGTGGCTGAGACAGGTGGATCTAGAGGGAGGGCTTCTTTTCTGATAACGGCTCCTATAAGATGTGCCTTACTTGAGGAATACGCGGAACAGACTCTGGAGTTTTCAGTATAAACGTGATTTGATGCTGCTCCCTTCTCGTCCCTGCCTTCTCTCCTTCATTTCTCAGGAATCTCTTTTCCTCTTATCCGCTCGCCATCTATCCCCGGGGGGGGGGGGGTCTCAGGGCCCCCATGCTTTTGAATGGGGCAGATCTAACAGCCCTGGTAGAAACACCCCGTGTTTCGGTCCCTTGGCATAAACTCAGAACCCCTCCGAGCCTCTGCCCAGCTCACAGAAGCGTAGCAAAGTGGCGGCCGAAGTTTCCTGAACAGGGGTTGGATTCCCCCTCCCCTCTTTTTAACGGGAAGGGTTCAAGCACCCATCCAAGCCCAGCCCAGCCTCAGAGCGTGGGCAGAGTTCTCCAGAGGATGTTCCAGAAACAGGTTCCAGCGTCCCTCTCCTGCCCCGGAACTTCAGGGCCTTCTGCGATAAGGCAGGGTGATAAAACACCCCCGACGGTGCCTCTGAGACCCTAATAAAGCCATCGGTTTCTTATCCCGTACAAACTCTCCGTGTTTTGCTTCACGTCTTAAAGCTTCACCCGTGTTCGTTCGGGGGGAGAATGGCTGCCGTGACCGACCGTACCGAAAAAAAGGCTGAGGCATAAAGAGACAGGGATGAAATCATTTTGAATACGCACACAGAAAAATACATTTTTCTGTGAAAAGAAACAACAACCCTCCACTCTATTAGCTTTGCTTCGCCCCTCTGCAGGTTGGACGCCACGTGTTGAGCAGCCGGTACTTTAGCCAAGGCGGGTGGGGGAAGTGGAAGGTCGATGGGTAGAATCTTTGCAGATCCTTCCTGGCTGCAGGAAACAGGTGCTCTGACCAGGGACCAGGCCGGGAAAAGGGGACTTTTTATAGCTAAGACCAGATGGCGGAAGGGATGGAAGACCTTAAAATATGCATTTGAGCCCTGATGCAGCTGAACCGCCGGCTCCCTCCGGAGCAGAAATATTTGGGGGAGTTGGCAGAAAGTTAAATGTGGCTGCAATAATGGACAGCCCACCACCTGTTTCTGCGCTTGTGTCACTTGTGGCTGTTTTTAATGCTGAAGGAGAGCCGGGAGGGCCGGGCCGGGCGGGGGGGGGGGGGGGGGGCGGCTTCCGTTCCATCAGGCCCAGCGTGGCAAACCATTCGGGTTCAAAGTCTTCAAACACACAACTTTAACAAAGAAACAAGCTGCGGAAATCATAACAATACCCTTGAGAAAAAGAAAATATTGAGCACTCTTTGAAACCGAAAGCAGGCTGCAGGGGAGAAAATGTAGCTGCCAAGTGCGGTGGGCGGGTTTTCCAGGGGCAAAGCTGCCACCAGCAGCACCACCTCCCCACCCCCCGTGGCAAAACGAGGCAGCGCTTGGCCTCCAGGGCTTCTGTCATTTCCTCCCCGGATTCCTTGGAGGAAAAGGGCCGCCATCTCTGGGGAAAGCAGACCTGGGCCCTGGCCAGGCGGCTCATGGGAGGCGCAGGAGGGCTTGAGGCTGATAAGAGGATGCCAGGGTGAAGCAGCTCGCGGCCAAAGCCTTTGGCAGCTCTTGGGTGGCAGAGAGACAAGACCGGTGGGGGTGGGGGTTGCAGAGACCTCATCTTTGGAGGCCAGGCGAGGAACCTGCGCAGAGGTTGGCAGGTCCTACTGGGCGAGGAAGAAGAGGAGAGAGAGAGGTGGGCTCTGCCCCAAACGTCTTGATGGATGCCAGGTCCTTCCAAGGGCCGAAGGGCTTGGAGCTGGCTTTGCACTCGGGTTGCAGTAGTCCCTTCCAAGGCCAGATAAACCCCCCGTCCTCTGCGCCCAGCCGGCCCTTTTAAGGGCAAATGGCAGGGCTGAAGTCACACAATGGGAAAATCAGACACCGCCCCCCCCACCCCCCTCTATGGGGAGCCAGACCTGACTCAGAGGCCTTGGCATCACGAAGGCTGTTTTTGCCCTGCTGGCTGACAAAAGACACGTTTACCAGGTGCCTTTTCTTTGGCATTGCCCTTGTTGGGGGAGGGGGCACTGGGTTTGGGCCGCCATGGGCCCCTGTGGAATTCAAGGCCCTGGCAGAGAGGAGAAGGGGGAAGCCACAGGCCCAGGTGAAGAGCCATGCTGAAGCTGCAGCCCAGGAGGGTCCAGGCTGGGCTGTCGGAAGCCCCCTCCCCTGCGGCTGAGTGCTTCAGGGGGCCACTGACCCTCAGGGCTCCCAGGGGGCCTTGGAAAGTGGCCTCCAGCAGCCAGGAGCCTCTGTGCCGGACATGGAAATGACGCCGGCTCCTCTCTCCCTTGGTGCTCGCTCCACACACACACACACACACACACACACACAGCCCGGATCCTCCGTCTGGGCTGCCCCAGTGCAGCTCCTTTGTCTGCAGCCCCAGTTGGCCTGGGTCCATTCAATTAGGAGCTCTGTGGCCTGTTTCAATGGGGGCTGGGAAGGACCGAGGGGGGGAGGGCAAGATAGCCTCAAAGCAATGACCTCACGGACGGGGGGGGGGGGGGGGGGGGGGGGGGGGATGGGTAGTCCTGGGCCTCTTTGCACAGTTCAGGCTCTCCAGGCCGCTCAGGAGAGGCGTCCCACTTGCCACTGCTGGGCCAGGCCGTTTTTGTGTCTGCTCCCTCGGTTAGTTGACTTTCTCTCAATTCCTGAAAAACCACATTTTGCTACACACACACACACACACACCCAAGTCAGGGAACAATGGAGCCCCCACCCCCATCCCACCTGCTGCCTGGTTGCGAGGAGGCAGCCTAGTCTCCTTGTTGGGCAGGAATGCTGGGGAGGGGGAGGAGGGGGAAAATGAAGGGGAGGGGGGCCTGCGAAGGACACGCTGGTGGGTTTTCCCTCCCTCCCCTCCCTGGCCATTGTTCTGCCCAGCCCCCATTCCTCTGATGCAGTCAATGGGAAGCCAGACACTTGGGGGGGGGGGGACCGAGGGGGCCCCTCCCACCTCTAAGCAAAGACTGACTCCGAAGTTCAGCTTTGAAGGCCGACCAGAAGGACGGAGGGCGGGGGGCTCGATGGGGGGGAGTGGGGGGCCTCCTGAAAGCTTGAGGGGAGCCTGGTTGCTCTGTCTCCGCCCCCCTCACTGCAAGAGGGCCCTGGGAGCTGGCTTTGCTGCGATGGATTCAGAGGGGAGACTTCCCCACCACTCTCCCCCCCCCCAGCCCCTTGGTACCCCCATCCTCCCAGGATCTCTGCCTCAGGAGGGGCTTTGGGGTCCTTCGCCCCCTGGGGTCTGCCTGCCTTTGGGGACCGTGGCTGGCGTGAGCTGACCCTTTGCATTTCAGCCGTCCAGGCAGGAGCCGCTCCTCGCCCAGCAACCGGGCACCATCGAGGAGGAGAAGAGAGCCCCTTGGCCCCGGATCTATTCTGAGAGCCTCCCTAAGCAGAGAAGCATCTGCCCAGAGGGCCGTGGCCGTCCGCAGACCCTCCCCACCTGCAGCTGCTGCCTGCCTCAGCCACCTCCCCAGCACAAGCACGCAGCGAGGAGGGGGCGGCCAGGATCACAGGAGACCCCTCACCTCTGACAGATTAAAGCCTGGCCAGCAGGGGATTTGGACTCTCCAGAATGCAGCAGCCCCCTCCCCAGAAGAAGGAGGGGTCACAGCGAGGGGGTAACTGAGCTGCCCGCACTCGGGTTTCATGGAAACTGGGGGTGGGGGGGAGTGGGGAGCAGGTGCTGCTGCCCCCCCAGCCCCTGCCTGGGACCCTCCGCCTCTGAGGGAGGCCTGGAAGAGGAGGCTGGCAGCAATGGGGGGGGCAACCGTGAATGAGCCCCCGGAAGGGGGGATTCCTCCTGCTTGCCTCCCCCCAACAATGGACTCTTGTAATCCCCCTCAGAAGGGGAGAGGGGGCCCATGAGAGAATTGCCCGGTTGGCCACTGGGAGGCAAAGGGGGGCGGGGGGGGGACTCTGGAGGTGTCAGGACAACCGGGAAAGAGCGGAGATGGCGCCAGCCGTTCCCAAAGCAGTAAATATGGTGCTTTGCCCGCTGTAATTATAGTCCAGCCAGAGAGAAGGAAGGAGGGACAAGCGGGGACCGAGGCTCCTCTCAGCCTCCTCCAGAATCGCCTCCAGCCAGCTTGGTCTGGGGCTTCCTTTGGGAGCCTGGCAGTGGGCAGTGGGGAGGGGGGCTGGAAGGGGCAGGTCCACTGGGTGGCCAGCCCAGGCTTTCCCCTCTGGTCCCAGGGCGGCAGGAGTGTTTGCCAGCTGGGCACGAGAGACATCCTCGTCCACACTTGGCACCCTGCCCCGGGGGCAGAGGAGACTCGGAGGAAGCAGGCACGGGGCTCCGGGCACCTCTTGAGCCCTGGGGGAGAAACGCCCATCTGGGGGGGCTTCACGGTGGTGATGGAACCTCCCTGATTTCACTGGATGGAAATGGGACCAAGGAGGGGGTGCTAAGACCCTCTTGGTGCTCTTGGGGGGCAAATCCGGGGAAGCGCTGCCCAGAGGAGGGTTTCTTCTCATCGGGGAGAGAGGGGAAGACCAGCAGCTGGTGGTCCCAGGGCCAGGACCCTTGCCCTCCAGCACACTTGGCAGGCCATAGAAGGAGATCCCACCAGCACACAGGCTGAGCCAGGGAGGGGGGCAAGCAGGCCCCCTCCTCCAGAAACCCTCAGGGCCTCCATCTCTGGTCCTTCTCCAGTCCCACCCTCAGCCTCATTCCTGCCCCCCCCCCCCCAGCCTCCCCAGGGGTCAGCATTTTGCAAACATTCCCAAGTGATGCTTGCAGCCCAGAGGAATCCAAGGCAGGCAGCTCGCTCAGGGGAGGAGAAGAGTTTATTTTCACACCAGCTGGTGCCAACTGTCTGCCAGGGGCCTGGTTTGGGCTCAG